CTAGAATAGCCTTTCTCTTGGGGCCGCTGGGCCTGGAAGGAGGAGGTAAGGATCCATCCCTCAAGATCCCACGGCAGGCCTGGCCAGGGAGGACATGGGAACGTGGCTCTCTTAACTAAGGGGTCCCAGAACAAACATGAGTGGGCAGGGCACAAAGCAGCTGGGGTGGGGGACAGTGGGGGCAGCCAAGGCATGGGGTAAGTCTTCGCCATCATCCCCCCAAAAAAGACAAAATCAGGTCCCTTCAGAAGCATTTGCTCAGCAGTGATAATATCTTATTCTTGTGAGGGTTGCCCTCCCCTAAACGCGGTCCAATTGCCAACCACCTCAACAGAGCCAAAAGGGTCGTTCCAGGCATTTAAAGGTTCTAACAGCCCCCTACTATGGTGTTTACTGGGTGTCACCTGACATGGGATGATTGATGGACCACTTCTCAGCCAGTGCATGCAAGCTCCAATCACAAACATGGACCCCTCCCACCCCACCCATGACAGCCACAGCCTTTGCAACTTGTGCTCTGCGTGTAACAAAGCCTTTCCACCTAAATCGCCCTCCTCTGAGCTCAAAACAGCACTGTGAGGTAGGGGGCAGGGAAGGTGGTCTCATCCAGATCTCCATCAGTGCTCACGCCAAGAGGGGCTTTGTATTAGATAGAGGCTGGGTACTTCACACGCAACCCCACAGATTAGTTCAAAGGAGGGACAGGGAAGAGTTGTAAAGAGTGGAGCTGGGATTTGAAGCCTCATCTGTTCTGGCTTCAAAGCCTGGCTTTTCCCACTATACCATGCCAGCTCCCTCTAATGGGGGAAACTGAGGCCCAGAGAAGGGTCTTCCTTGAGGTCACATGACCAGTAACCAAGCACGTGAGGCCCAAACCTCAGCACCCTGATTCCAAACCCAGGGCTTTTTTCTCAGGCCCAGAGGGGGGCTATTTTAACTCCAACATAATAATGTACACACTGAAAACGTCTCTATTCATGTCTCACCATTTAGCTAAATAGGGTATCTAATTATTTACCCATCTATGATGGTCAATTTTATTGGTAAGCTTCACTGGCCATAGGGTGCCCACATTAAATATTATTTCTGGGAGGATGTTTCTGGATGAGATAAGCATTTGATCTGGTGGACTTGGTAAAGCTGACTGGACTCTCCAATGTGTGTGGGCATCATCCAACCCATTGAGGGCCTGAATAGAACAAAAGGGGGAAGAAGGGGGAACTTGTCCCCCAGCCTCTTGAGCTGGGACATCTTTCATCTTCTCCTCTCATCTTCTGAGGTCTTAGACTTGGATTGAATGAGACCACTGGCTTTCCTGGGTCTGCAGCTTGCAGATGGCAGGTCACAAAACTTCTCAGCCTCCATAGTCACGTGAGCTGATTCCTCATAATAAATCTATCTGTCTATCTATCCATCCATCCTCTATCTTATATATCTATCATCTATTTATCTATCATCTATCTATGTTATGTGCCTTATCTATCATCTCTTTATTATCTATCATCTATCTACCTATCAATCCTCTATCTTATCTATCCTCTATTTTATCTACCTATTTATCATCTATCATCTATTTATCCATCTATCATCTATCTTATTTATCTTCTATTTATCTGTCTATCTATTATCTATCTATCTATCTATCTATCTATCTATCTATCTATCTATCTATCTATCTCTTATTGGTTCTGTTTCTCTGGAGAACCCTGACTAATATACCATCTATGCTTTTGATTAAGAAGTCATTCCTAAAATATTAAATACCTCCTTTGTGTTGGGCACTCTACTGGGTGCTAAAGGGAAACATTTTAATAAGACAAAATACGTGATACAGATTCTTCTAGCATCACCGGGGAAAAAATAGTGTTCCTGGCATGGTGTTCCTGACTAAACTGTGAGCATAAATTTTGCTTTAACCCAAAGGTTCTTGATGTTGACTGCCATTGGAATCATCTGAAGAGACTTAAAACATCCGATTCCTGGGTCCTGCCCCAGAGTTGGTGATTTATTTGGTCTGGGATGTAGCTTGGGCCTCAGGACTTTAAAACACAAAAAGGATTTGCTAATTATACATCAACATGACTTAATTACAGATACAAAGCATTTCTATTTAGTCATAATTTATAACTTGCTCATTTTCAAAATTAATGTGATGCAGCTGATGGCACACAACACACAAAACAGACCATTTAAAGAAATACTAAAAATGAGGAATTTCAAGAGAAGAAGAGAAAAACCTGTAATGAAAGAATTACAGTTGAGCCCCAAATCCAGCCCTGAGCTTTCTATCACCAATGTGCAAAGGTGAACAAGAATGGTAATGGTGTCACTATAACTGATAAAAGGAAGTCTATGAGGGGAAAAAACCCACTATTTTCTGTCAAAGAGTTCTAAGAAGACAGCTTAAAAATATGTGGATGAACAAGACAGCTGACCCCACAGATGTTTTGTGACTCATCAACAGTCAGGCTACTCCCAAATCAGCTCACAGCCAATTTCAAGGTTGGCCTCTTTTTCCTGAAGATCTACAGGCTTTCCTGGAATGACCCTCGGCTAAGGAAGTTGGTGAAGCCAGCCAGGAGGGACTGTCACCCAGATGTCTCTAGAAACCTTTCGACAAAGGCCCAGACAAGGAAAAAGAGCCAGCTCATCACTGGACTTACTGTATCCACGTTCGCAGAAAGCACTCTCTTTAAGCTGAGACGCCATTTGACGCACACAGCGCCCCTGCACCTGGGCCCTTGGTGAGATTTCATTTTCCTTCAGCTCAAACTCTCATCCAGAGAAGGACCCAACTTTGCAGAAGGCAGTGAAAGCTGCAGGTCCAAACACCCGATCCAGGCCCCCTGGAGAAGGTCTGGCTGGGGCACTTACGGGGGGTTGTCGCATTTCCTCTGTCGGAAGCGGGCGCCCGTCCCACACGTCCGGCTGCACATGCTCCAGGCGCCCCACAGGCTCCAGTCGCCGTCCACGTGCTCCGGGATGGGCGTCTTGCTCACGCATTCCCCCGCACGGCACCACTGAAACACAGCGATGGCTCCCACGTGAAAAAAAAATCATGCCACCTCTACATCACTTTGTGTAACTCACATTAGACATTTTGGGGTGTGCATGCTTGCTAACTCTAGTGGCATTCCTTGCTCACTCAACCTGACACCTATGTCCCTGTGGGGCTTGGATTTTGCCCTTGGTGTCCACTGGGGTTTCTTAGATTCCCAAAGGATGAATCCACATGGCTCATGAAGGGACCTGAGCTTCTGCAAACTTGGCCGAATGTGAGTGTGTCTCGCTCTGGAAGGCAGCATTTCCTGGCTCTGTGGTTTTGAACTTCAGGGATGGGTTTGGTGCTTGGAGATGACCCAGCCGTCACCACGTGGGTGACCGTTGGCTCTTTCTGGGGATAAGAGAAAGCCATTCCTCTAAAACAGGATTTCCCAACATGTGTGGCACAATTCCCGGGGCACGAGGGGTGATGGGGTGGTCCCCATCATGCCCTCTCCTTGAACCATTGCAATAAGACTAAGGAGAAAGCAGAATGTGGCTGCAGTGCAGGACCCCTCTCTTCTCTGACACTTGTCAACCTCTCCTGTTAATGAAGATCAGGCTGTAGGGTCACTCTTTTAACCTCCAGCTGGATAATACTGTCTTCATGATGTCCATTTTACAGTAGCCTTTTTAAAGGGCAAGGGATCCTGTTTTTCCATTGATGGTCTGCTGATGTCAAAGTTTTCCTTTGAAGGAAATCCACGTATGTGACAAAAGGAGTTCACTTACTACAAATATTAAGTACATGACTCTTGTATAAGAAAAAAAAAGGAGAGAGGTGATGGAGGTGCCCCTCTGTGCCTGGGGTGGCCTCTATGAGCATTTCTAGGGTGACCCAGGGGACACTTCAGTACAGTGCAGATGGCCTCTCGGGAGACATGCCCACTGCCCAGAAAGTGTGGGGCTGCTCGTGGGGGGCAGTGGGAGGTGGGGGTTACCTTGTCGGCCCCACACTCCGTGCCGTCCAGGGGAGGGTCCAGCTTGGTCTTGCAGGAGGCATCTCCTTCCACCAGACACCACAGCCCGGCACACATCAGATGCTGTTGACAAGGGAAGAAATGTGACTGCCGAGAACACCACACATAGGTCACAGCTGGGGTTATGGGGGGAGGGGGGTCATGACCGGTGTGGACTTGGGATATGAGCTGGGAGGGGAAGAAAGAGGATCATGAATCTGGATGTGGAGAAACCAAAATAGATGCCTCATTTCAACTGGTTCACGTAGCTCAACAACATTCTGTGCGTTTCCTCCTGGGAGGGCTCGTCTCCGGGCAGTCAGTTCAGTAGTTCTGGCATCAGCTATTCAGAGCCTAGGAGGTGTCTGACATAGTGACAAACAAGCACCTTCCATTTAACATGGGACAGCATGTGGCAGACGCCCGGGGGTTGTTCGGCACGTAGGGAAGAATCTCGCCACCCCAGCTTCCTCACAGAGAACTTTCTGGAAGAGGCAGCTCTAGAGCTGAGGCTGGAGGGGCCGTTATGCAGACCCAGAATTGAGAACCCAAAGGGCAATAAAGGGCTCAGAGCACCCCATGGGGTTAAGGAAACAACGTTCAATTCCCCCTGTTGTCATCTATCTTCTAGCTCAGCTGAGCTATGCGTAATTTCTTAAAATATTTCACCTAGAGACTTTCTTAACACATATAAATATACAATTAAAATAATTCTACTAAAGCAAACATAGGCAGTAAAAAATACAGACTCCCATTTGTATTAGTAGGAAATTTAGACGTGGACAAAGTGCTCGGAATGAGACGATTTATGAAAACAACTGAAACGGACGCAGCCAGCATCCTCCCTGCTGCCTTGGTCTCCCCTGCAGGACTCAGGGCAGACAGTGTTTGAAACACGTGGCCTGCCGCTTTCTGAGTCCTCTGCTGGAGGCCACACTGGCCACGGAACAACCCTGGACCATGAGGGTTGGGAGCTAGACTGGGATGGCTCTGAGGCCAGTTCTACACGTGTCTCAGAATCCCCGTGGGACGGCCCCATTGGCCACATGGTCGCCTGCCCATCTGTGCACCTCTTTTGACCCCCCCCCCGCCCCGGCTTCCCACTTCCCTGCTCCCCCACAGTGCTTCCTGGGATCACTTCCCAGGTAGACTACTTGCACCCAAATCTTCACCTCGTGATCTGAAAATTGAGACCAGATGGACTTAAGGCTCTTTGAAAGACGCAGTCTTTCCACAATGCCAAACCCAATCATGGCGCAAAGGCTTGAGCTGGAGCAGGGAGATGTCACCCTCCAGGGCGTGGCGGGAGACCTGCGCGTGCACTTGGGGCAGGGCGAGGGTCAAGAGTCCTGGTGCACAGCTCAGGGCACTCATAGTGGGGCTCGCCAAGGGTGTGCCGTGCTCAGCTCCGGGGTCTGCTGTTCCAAGTAATCACAAACATCTGCACAGAAGAGATGTGCGGCAGTGCTGTCTGTAGTCGAAAAACGTTTCGAAGCGGAAGGGACAAAAATAAAAGGGGGGAGGAAGGGAAGGGAAGCAGAGCTGGATGGGCTTTGACAGAGAGCTAAGAAAAGCCCACTGCTCCTTCTCAGTTTTCAAGTATGTCGGGGCTGCGCTGTGCCCTGTAAGCAGTTGATGATTCAAGTGGAATACTGCGCATTTGGGGTCAGAAAAGCCCCTCCGTTCCCATTATTGTTCACCCCTCAATAGAATGGTAAAGAGATGAGAGCCTTGAGCACAGCACCAGCTGGTCCTATAAAGACTCACTGCACCTCATTAAATGTTTGATTCCATGCACTTTAACCCAAGAGCTTTTTGAGAGTGTGGAGTCAGCGTATGGACGTGTGTTCCAGAGACCGGGCTGACCAAGGAGGTGGATTTATGGGGCCGGAGTGCTTATGATTAGGGGATGTAACTGCCCCTCCAGGAGAGAAGGGAAGAAGGTGTCGTAAACTGTTTATTATGCATTTTATAGACAGCTCTTTCCCGTAAAACTTTTCTAATCATCAAAGGAAAGGAGAATGAGGTCAGGCAACAATTTCTTAACCAAAACACAAGAAGTACTACCCATGGAGGACAAAAATGAATGAAGTATACTGTATTGAAAGGAAGGACTTCTGGTTCTCGAAAGAGAATGGTAAGAAAGTGAAAGAATATACTGGTTTGTTGGAAAAGTCATGATGCAGTTTTGCAACGAAAAACATAGAAAAAATACATCATGACTTTTCCGACAACCGAATATTTGCGATACGTGGGAGACAGATTTGCAATGCATAGAACCAACAAAAAAAAAATCTGTATCCAGAATATATATATAAAACTCCTATAGATTAAGAAAAAGACCCAATAGAAAAATGGCCAAGAGGCTTGAACAGACACTTCACCAAAGAGGATATCTAAACGTACAAGATGACCAATAAAAATAGGAACAGTGCCTTAGCTTCACCACTCATCGGGGAAAGGCAAATTACAAACACTACTAGATACCTGTGCACACTCACTAGGAAGAATTACTAGAATGAAAGAGATGGAGATCAGCAAGTCCTGGCCAGGATGTGGTGGGACAAGGACTCTCTCAAACTGATGACAACATTCGAACTCCCTTCAAACATCTCGGGAAACTCAATGGCAATATTTAGTAAAGCTGGAGACAATTATATTCTAATGCCCAGCAACTTCTCTCCTGGGTTTTTGTTCTACAGAAATGTATGTGTATATGTTCACCAAAAACATGTCCAAAATGTTCACAGTAAAAAAAAAAAAGTCACTATAATTAAAAAAACAGTCACAGGGATGAATAAGGAATATAGTCAATGATAGTGTAATAACTATTGTGAGATGGGTAATAGGCTTAATAGGGTGACACGTCGTGAGGTATATAAATAAATCTCTGATTACTGCTCTGTTTTGTACACTTGAAACTAATTCAAATTTTTTTAAGTGTTCACAGCAATGGTATTTGTATGAGTCCCAAAGTTAAAAACCACCCAAATTCTCATCAACAGAACAGATAGATTGTGGTCTCTTAGAGCAATAGAATACTATATGATCCTATTTATATGAAATTCAAAAACAAGGAAGGGAAAACTAGAGTGGTGGGAGTCAGGACGGGGTTACCTTTTTGCTCAGTATAAAAACAAGGACAAGGGGGATGAGCAGAAAAGGTGACTTTAGAGCTACAGCCTCTGACGCAGGCTTAGCCATCAGCATCGCTGTCTGTGCCCCAGCCAAGCAATCGCCCTCCTGTGACTCCTTTTCACAACTGGACAATTGGGGTGGCCTCTACTGATGCCTGTCACTGTGAAGCCTTCTAGATGGCTGGCTGGCATGGGTGGCATGCTTTACAAATGACACAGTGCTCCGATATCTGTCATTCTGAGGCTCGCGACACCTGTGGGAGGCAGATAGGATGGAGCTTTCTCTATTTTTCCTTCCCACTTTTCCAATGAGAAGGCAGATGCTTGCAGAGGTCAAGGGCATTGATCTAGGTCAGAAGCACAGGACTGGGAGTTCACTCACCAAGGTTCACATCCTGGTTCTTGACCCGTGTGGTGGTTACACAGGTGTGTTCACTTTATCATCACTAATCAGGTCTAAACTTATTATTTGTACACTCTTTTGTGTGCATACTGTATTTCAATAAAACTGTTTAAAGAAAGAGGAGGCAGAAGAAGGAAGGAAGGAAAAAAAGGAAGGAAGGAAGGATGGAAGGAAGGGAGGGAGAGAGGGAGGGAGGGAGGGAGGGAAGGAAGGAAGGAAAAAATGAAGGAAGGAAGAAAAGAACAGAAAACAACAAAAACTGGAAGATTCTGGACCCACTTGTCACAAGGTAGAATCAGGAACATCAGAACTGTACAAGGAAATTATAAGGATAAGAAACCATGTGTGTAGGAAGTCATATCTCAGAGCAAGAAAGAGATCGTGTGGAGTACAGAGTTTCTGTAGATTCACACACACACACACACACACACACACACACACACACACACACCCTCTCATAAGAATTCCTGCTCCTCTAGAAACATCTCTGGCTCTCTCCAACATGAATATCCTATAAGTAGCAGGTCCAGGAATAACTCAGAGATGAATGATAGTGGAAAAGAATCAGCACAGGATCTATACTAAGATAGTACAAACAAAAAAAGGGAGAAGGAAAGGGGGGATAAAGCAGGGGAGGGATACTCACCAGATAATATGGTCATGGAGTGGCTAAAAATAATGTGCAAACATATGTGCATTCATTTAAAAAAAAAATAAAACATAGTAGTAACTGTGTCTTTTTTTTTTTTTTTGCATTTGCAAAAAGCAAAAACACAAGAACTGAGAAAAAAGATGGTCAGGTCCAAGGAGATAACATTTGAACTAACAGAACTTGGTCAAGAAATGTCTGAGAAAATGAAATCAGATGACGAATGAAGACAATGCTGAAAGCAGCATGACAAAGACGAGCGACACCAATGAACGCACAGGGAGGTGCAAGGAGTTGATGACTGAGAAAAACTAAATATAATAAAACGGAAATGAACAAATAATTTCAAAAACTGAAGAGGAAATGACCACTATGGAAGACACAAACAGGAGATATGGCATAATTGGGCGGCAGGTAGGATGGGGCTTTTTAAAATTTCTTCCACTTTTCCAATGAGGAGGCAGATGTTTGTGAAGGTCAAGGGCTCCAAGGTCAGAAGCCTTGAATAGCAGTGGAGAGCCCTAAGTCCAGTGCAAAGAGCAAGGAAGACGAAACAGCTCCCTGGTTCTAGCATCTGTTACCTCACTGGCTACATTTAAGTTTTGGCAAAAGTCAGGGTTCTTCAACGTGCTGTGTAACAAATATGCCAGCACCAAGCCTCCTTCCCTGGGGTACTGTGGAAATACAGGGGAGGTTTGAGTTCCACAGAAGAAAGACACCATTGTTCATTCATTCATTCAAGGCTTTACGCTATTTTTTTTTTGGACTGGTGGTATCCCTTTTAAGTCCTCTGAAGGTTATTTTGATTCTCTTCCTCCCTGGGCACCCGCCAAGTGTTTGGAGAGCACCTCTGATTCAAAACAATACTGAAGGGAATGGTTATGTAAAAACCCTC